GTTCCCTAATCTCAGTCAGTCAGTTTTATTTTTTTTGAATTTGTCAGAGAGGTATGGAAGCCCATTTCCGCAGCAAAAAAAAAAAGAATAATTATTTTTATGCTGGTGGAAAAAAAGTTTTTAATTTTTTTTTTTACTTTTTTCCCGCCAGCAAAAAAATAATAATTAGAATTCTTTTTTTTTTTTTTTTTTGTGACCTTTTTTTTTTTTTCTGGGGGAAATGGGCTTCCATAGGAAAAAGGGATTTTATCATTTTGTTCTACGACATATAATGCGTCAGTAAATATCCCACTTGTGGGTTTTTAAGTGTCTTGAAAAAGACGGTTGCTAACAAGTGTCTATTGAGACGACTAAACGTCATCGCTAGAACACTAGTCCTCCTTTATTGTGAAGTCATGTGACCACGGGGGAGTTCCTTTGTAGCCTAATCTTTATTTTGTACTTCTGATTGTATTCACGCTTGTATTCAAGTGGAGTTAATTTGTGAATAATTATCTTGCTGAACAAAACCTGTAAGTATCATAAACTTTTATTTTCTGCAATAATCCAAAATTCAGGGGAACAATCCCGTTGGCTTTGTGTTCGAGGGAACCAGTGTGATGCTAACTTCAAGGTTGGCCTAAAAACACATTATCCCTGCTGCACTCTATTTGAAGTAGAATTAAATTTAATTAATTTGTAGCATTTCAGAAAGAATTGATTCATTCACAGCTCATCTGCTATTTGTATTCATCTCATAACTAAAGAGCACAAACTAAAGAGTTTGCGAATCTTTATAAAGTTTATCTCTTTATTCTCTGCTCACACTGCTCCATGACAGTCAAAGACAGACTATAACTATGCATCTGTGTATGCAGGTCTGTGAAGTAGCTGAAGTACTATTGAGATGTTTAAATGTTAGGATTTTATTGATTACTGCAGCAGCATTAAGGTTTGTACTGTATATACCGGCCTCGGTCAGCAGAGGGCGTAGCCTCTTTCTTCTGTCTCTGTTTTGTTTTTTACTGTAAAACATTTTTAAAATGTTGTCTTTCAAAGCCACAATATCAAGAAAGTCATTAATTATTATTTGATTATTATTATATCTATAATTAAATACACTGCAGACAAAATGGACTTTAGGTAAAAGCAATATACTGTCCGATGATATTTTCTTAAAATGAAATACAGTAAAATAAAATTCATAAATAAAGATTATTAAAAGACTATCACAGTGTACATATAACTTACAGAACTCGGACAGTAATGGTCGAGTATCTGAATCAAATTGTACTTCCTTGTCTTTGCAGCTGTTTTGCATGTTATTGTAATTGTTTTGTGTCTCTTTGCAGTTCTTTCATGTTTTGTAGGTGAGGGCCAGGATGGGGCCCTGGGCCTGGTAGGCCCATTCAGTAATCCATCCATGCTGCTATAAATCCTTGTGTATGTCTTTTTACCACATTTGTTTGCATGCTTGAATCCTTGAATTACCCCTTGAGGGACAAATAAAGTATTCTGAATGGGACTGAATAAAAAGCTTTGCCGTTAAACTGAAAAGCATTTGCTGCCCTCTGATTTAACCGCACTCGTACACACATGACACATGCAGCCTGTAAACATTTTAATGCCTCCTCCTGGTTTCCTGGCAACAGTTTCCAAGTCGTCTAGTATAGGCTGTCATGGTGTCAGGATTAGTGTCACAGCTGTTTTACCTTGATGAGATAAACCCCACACAGGAAAACAACTTTATTATCGTCCACTACAGCGTGTCTCTAACAGCTCGGGCCGCCAGCAGAGGGCACAGCAATCATACGAGGCAGGTCACACACTGATCCAACCTTTGCTGAGACTGTCCTCCCTCACCCTACTGCTCGGCAGTCACGTCCACATGCAGCTGGTGTAAAATAACCTGTTACTCATGAAGATGTTTGGAAAACCTCACCACTACATGAAGTGTTGCAACAAAACCACAATCAGTGAAGCCAAACAACTTGACAGAGTGGCAGCAAATGCCTTAAACTAACAAAACAAATACTTTCCCTGGATTTACTCTATTGTTATATCCACGAGGAAGTGCATGACATCATTATGAAGTAAAAAAATCCATCCCAGTGAGCCAGCTGCTTCCTTCCCTCCTGCCCATTTGGAGCTGCTGACCCATGTGGAATATGCAGCTCGAAAGAGGATGTGATTTAATCACATTACAGCCTGATCAGCCCTGCCTGAGTCATTGGTCCCTGACTCCATGGCGTCTGGATGAATCACAGATCCACTACAACATGGGACGGTTTGTACACCACCCTGATTAAATCAGCTGCTTAAATCCAATTCAGTCCAACAACAGGTTACGTCCACGCCCTTCTCCAGGCTGCACTTCCATGTTGCACAGCGACTGTCTAGATTTTCAGGTACTTAACGTGAAATGATGGGATCGGCTAGGAGTGGTCTCACTAGTATCGTCTGAGAGATAATGACCTCACCTTATTTTCCCACTTCTATACTACGCTGTACTTCTTTCTCCTACACGGTGTGTTTATCACATCTGATTAGTCTCAAAATAAAAGCTTTGATAGAGGAAATAATCAATCAAACAGACAATACTTCCAGAAACAATTAGTAAAATTCTTGTGTACACGTTCTAGTTTGAATTAGTGAGTGGCTACAGCTTTCAAAAACCTGTTAACTGAACTCTCACCTTCCTGCCGCTCACACTTTTTCCTTTCGATGGAGGAGAAGAGTTTGTGCAGCTAATAGGAGTCTTGTGGTTTGTTCGCTTCCAGGTCTCATGATTTCATGGAGCTGCATCCGACTCACAAGACCCGTGACATGGCTAAAAGCTCTCCTGTAACTCACTGGAACACGGGTGTTTGGATGTTGTGTGTGTGTGCATGTGTTTGTGATTAATCGCGCAAGGATTATCACATGACTCATGGTTCACATAAGTACAGTCCTGTTATAAAGGCTAATGTCAAGGGAGGTAAGGAGACGGAGAGAGGGAACATTCTTACTGAATGAAAGTGTCATGGCACTTATTAGGATGTTAAATATCTTAAAGGGGACATATCAGGATCATTTTTAGGATCATGCTTGTATTTTGGGTTTCTACTAGAACATGTTTACATGCTTTAATGTTCAAAAAACACATTATTTTTATCATACTGTCTGTCTTTTTAAGACACACTCCCGAAAAAGCCCAGTCTGCTCTGATTGGCTGGCGATAAAAATAAAGTGCACCTCTGCAAAGGTAGCTCTCAAGCTGTGGTCGATATATTCTAATGAGTGTGCAGGTGACATACGAGGGGGAGGCACATCTTAATGGTTTGTTAATTCACTTACTAATAAAGTTAGTTTTTCATGGTATGTCCCCTTTAAAATGTTAAAATATGGAGTATAATGCATTCCCCCGAATACATCTAACCACACAAGGCTGTTTATTTCATGGAAACCTTAAACTATTACTCATTATTTAAACAATGACTGAACCCATGATAAAAAGGACTGATGCTGTAAATGCTGATGCAACAAAAAAAGGTCAGTGCTGTTTATAAGCATTAAAGCAACGTGGTAATGTATTCAGATTTATGAGTGCAGGCAGATACAAGATGGAAGAGATTGTTGCCATCAACAAACACATGAACATAAAGTATAAATAGATATCTCAGTGGGTAATATATCTGCCTTTGCTTTGCAAATGAAACCCTCCTTGACCTCACATATATTTGCTAATGTTCCTGTGGCCAGGCCTCATAAATGTCTACACTAAGTGCTGATCCTGACTGCCGTGTTTGTTGGTTGGTAAAGTGACTCCCGAGACTGAGAGGGGTTGTGCCGGGGCTCCAGAGGCCCTCATTATAAAGAGGAGGCGCTTCATTTCACCATAATTTAATTCACTAAAAATATTCCACCCCTGTGGAGAGGTATCAGATAATCTGTTAATCAGCTACAGTGCAGTTACACTTTCTCGGGACAAATTTTAGCAATCTACGGTGCACACTAGTGAGAAATGTGTCCAAATATACAGCTTTTATAGGCCCTGAAATATTGTTTTATCAATCAAGAGTTTCAATTATTTCACATAAGACATTTCTGTATTTGTATCTTTTTGTGTCTTTGCTTATCTCATTGTTTTGCAGTGAGCTGGATAAAGTGATGTCACACACTTCCACATGGTCAGTTTAGCGACGCATGAATCAATATGTGATGACACTGTCTGGGTGACGTAGATAAGCGGACTTTTTTAGGGTTTAAACTCTTGATAAAAATGTAGGTCAGACGTTTTAAGGATTACAGAAATCACTATGTTATGTGGTAATGTCTATCAAAAGTGCAAAAACAAGTCAGTTGTTTTTGTTAATTACATTATTTGTTCGGGAGCATAAAACCTCTAAGGCTCAATATCAACTCAAATGATGCAAGCCTTCAGTAAAAGTACAAAAAATAGCATACAAGCAAACAATCTACCCAGCATTATATAAAATGATTGTACACATTAAGGGATCAATAATTATAATCCGTGACAATGTTTTGGTTGATCGTACTTTGTATCATTAATCTGAATCTGCAAAGTAACTTAAATTATGGAATAAATGTAAAAATCAGATATCTAGTGGAGCAGAAGTAGCCTTTAAAGTTGCATAAAAATGGAAATACTAGTGTTTTGGTGTAGGAATGGCATTGTAAAGGTAACTAAATCGAGTTCAGGGACTCCCTTCCAGTATGTTAAAGCTAAATTAGGTTAACAGTTGCGCATTCATTAATCTGGAGCATCAGGCTGTTGCACTCCTGCTCTATTTTTCCTGTACTCCTGGTCTATTTATTACTATTATAAATACACCATATAATTATTATATTTTATATTATTTTATATTATTTTATTTTATTTTATTTTATTTTATTTTATCTATTTCCTTCTAAATAAACAGAGGGGGGAGGAGCCTGTCCTTCCTGTCGTCGAGAGGAGTGGAGATTTGGTGACGTCAGCGGAGCCAGCGCCCCTGCGCAGCACACAAGTTGGAGCACGCACGCGCTCACAAGCTCGCTCACCCACCCGAGAAGAAGAAGAAGAAGCTCCGGGGAAACGTCAGTTGAAACATGGCGTTGGTTACAGGCTTAGCTAGCGTTCACCTGGATTATTAGACCTACAAAATATGTGCCGACCTATTTAGGTGCTAGCTAAACTAAGTTAGCTATCGATTCCGTTAAGCCTTTAGCTATCTGTGCTAATTCCGTGTGCACTCAGAGCTACTAGCACAGTCGTCTATCATAACAACATGATTTGGTGAACGGTTTGCAGCTTCCTATCTGCTGTCATATGCTGTTGTTATTATTTTTCATACATACTAAAGCGTTAGCCTAAATTAGAGGAAAATGTCAGACAACCAGAGCTGGAACTCCTCTGGTTCCGAGGAAGATGCAGAGCCCAGAGATGAGTCTGGACATCTGGTTGGTATGGTCGATTTGAGCGGAGTCCTCAGTAAGGTAAGTCACGTGTTGGGGCTAAAAACTACATTTCCTCTGAAATCATTATTGTCACTGCTGCCAAGTCCTGAGGGCATAACTGTCAGGGAGGTGGTAAAATAATCTGTTATCCATTTACAGGATTACAGCAGCATAGTGGATTGTGCAAACAAGATGCATAGTAAAAAAAAACAAGATCAAAACAAGTATTATAAATAAGCAATAAAACAGTAAATATCCTTATAATAAAACAATAAATATCCTTGTAATAAAACAATAAATATCCTTGTAATAAACCAGTGACTATCCTTGTAATAAACCAGTGACTATCCTTGTAATAAACCAGTGACTATCCTTGTAATAAACCAGTGACTATCCTTAGAATAAACCAGTGACTATCCTTATAATAAACCAGTGACTATCCTTATAATAAAACAATAAATATCCTTAGAATAAAACAATAAATATCCTTAGAATAAAACAATAAATATCCTTAGAATAAAACAATAAATATCCTTGTAATAAACCAGTGACTATCCTTAGAATAAAACCAGTGACTATCCTTAGAATAAAACCATAAATATCCTTAGAATAAAACCATAAATATCCTTAGAATAAAACCATAAATATCCTTAAGATAAAATAAGATAATCCTTTATTAGCAGAGCTGGTTGTGCAATCCTGTGAAATGAGGATAGGTAACATAGGTATGAACAAATAATGGTAATGTCTATTTTGAGAGTAGAGTTACACAGAATCCTTTGCCGGAATCTGTCAACGTTTCCACTTTGCTGCTCGGGAATATTAGACCAGTAATCTTCCACTGAAGCGAAAGGAAAGCCCCCCCCATAGAAACTGAAATTGAACAGCGGGGTATGTAATGCAGCACATAGCCACACTGGCTCACAGCTGTCTCCAGAAGAGAGATTAGTTTATGAGTGTAGGTTATTGTTTATAGTTCATTCATGTGGCATTGTATACCTGTATATTGATTTTACACCTGCACTTTGCACTGATATCAGGTGGTCACAGTTCAGCTATTTTATTGCCTGGTGTACATTATGCAGACTTAAGTGTTTCCATATCAAAAAGAGTAAAACGTCTAAAAAGCTGCTTGTGATTAATGACCACTGGAGGGCTCATTTCAGGTTAAAGTAGTTCTGCTGCATGTTCCTTTGATAACACCGTGGATTCAGCAAATGGCGTTGGTCTTATGGGCAAATATCCTGTGATACTGTAAATATTGATTTGACAACAGCATGCAAGGTGCAGGACAAACATTTGGCACAAGTAAACAATGCTTGTTAACTGAGCGCACTGTGTAAAGAACACCGCATGCTGTTGTTAATCACTTTTTTTGGTAAACAGACAGTTAAGTCTCCTGCGAGACAGATTCTTGGTAACCCATTTTGCCACATGCTGTTGTTTGGCCCAAATTGTACCACAGTTTTAATGACTTAAGCTGCTGGCAAGCTAATGTGGTGTTAATGTCACTGTACACCGGTTGTCTCTAAACAGATTGCATGCTGACCCGCTAACCAAGCATATTGTGAGATTAAGCAGCTCTGCATCCACAAACGCTCACCTCTTCACTCATACTAAGCCCTGTTCACGTCACAGGTCTTGTGAGGATTAATGTGTCCATAAAATCCCACATGTGGACTAATTCAGGTTTCCCTGAAGTGCAAAAATACACATATGATGTTTATTGTAATGTACACTGAGTTACCAGTAAAACGGAAACTACTCTCCAGTTTAACAATCCATGAATCCAACAGTCCTTTAATGAAGTCTGTGTAGCTTTAGTGATTTGATTCAGCTCTGTGGGGATTGATGAGGCTGTTTGTGGGTTTGTTGTATTGCACGGTCAGGTGTTAAATGTTTCTTTGTAAATAAGGCCGACGTCGTGAGCTGGACATCTTTAAATAACACAACCACAAAGTGCAGCCTCCAAACCATTTAAATCACCGTACAAAAACAACAGACTTTTAACCACGGTGGTATTTATTTAGATGCTTTTTTTATTCATCTTGTCACTCGGCAGTCAAAGATGTTGATTAAAGTGCTTTATGTTTCAGTGGACAAACTACATCCATGGCTGGCAGGACCGTTGGGTGGTCCTGAAGAACAACACACTGAGCTACTACAAGTCTCAGGACGAGACGGAGTACGGCTGCCGGGGTTCCCTCTGCCTCAGCAAAGCTGTCATCACTGTGAGTACGGTTGAGTTTCTGTACTACAAAGCAGTGCTTCAACATTCCACACTCTTTGAAGCATTAGAGCGTCTTTGAAGACAGTTCTGCGGCCTTTCTTTTGTGCAATATTGGCCTTTTCAAAATGTGTCACGAGAGTGAAGTCTGTTGTTTGTGTAAGAGGGACACATTCTGTGAAGAGAGGGGAACCTTCACTCCTGCTATTAGGACACCAAACAATCAAATTGACTGTGGCACACATCCTGTGCTATTACCTGAGAGGATTCTCTGTGGATGTTTATTTAAATTGCAAATGGAGCCACACACACAAAACACAACCCTTTTCTGTCACTTCACCGACAGCTTCAGCTGATTTCCTCTAGAATACGTGTTGCTCTAGTTTGACCTGAAATCGGCCAAACAGCCGGCTGGTGCTCAGGTGTTGGGGTTGCGTGCCTGTGGATATATTTGGTGAACAGTTTAGAGTCTTGACCTTCTCCTTTTATATTTGTTGGCTAGCTGCAGTACGTAGAGGCTAATCAGTGTAGTCGCACTCAATTATGTTGCTAATCAGCGTTGACATTGCTTTCTAAATGTTTTCATAATCAGGAAATCAGCAGCAATTTGGGGAATTAAGATTAAATTATTACAAATCAAATCAACTAAAGAGTAACCGTCAGCTGATCGTCAGCGCCTACACAAACTGTTTTATCTGCCTAAATGACACTTGGACGGTTTGTCTTGTTGGTAACGAGGTGATCATACAGTAGATGAAGGCTGAGAGAAGAACTGTGGAATCAACTCCGTCTGGTTTGGTCAGAAAGATTCACCCTTCACCACGATTCTGAATCACATGTGCTGCAAACAAATCCTCTGCTTGTGTTTGATAATAAGTGTTAGTTGTGTGTTGGATATTACATTTGGTTTGACTTGCTTGTGAAAACAACTCAAAAGAACTTTGAAACAGTTTTAATGCTTCACCAGTTGTTGCAGTTCTATCTTAACTTTGTAATATAAAATACTGAAACAATCTTATCCGACCAAGGTTGCAGTAAAGTGTGTTAATAACTCCTAGCCGTGATTGTCTGTGCGCTGAAATGCAACACGAACGGGTTAAGTCGATCACATGAGGAGCACATTAGCAGAGATGTGACGAGCAGAGAGACGTTTCTGTTTCCCATCAGCTCTCTCCTCCCTGAGCCTCCCACATACTTTTGAGAAGTTTATGATATATTAGATGTGATTCAGATGTCAGGCATCCACCAGATGTTTCTGGTGAATTCATATAGGAAAGACTGTGGATCCATGTGCAGGCCTAAGGCTTGACTCACTGTTGACTGTTCTAATCAGATGAGGAACCTTTACCCTGGACTTTCTCCGTCTGGTTCTTGATCAGCTGTGATAACCTATTTTTCTAAAGAACTCCTGATTATGTCCCAAGTTTTGCTCGAGGGTATTTAGGGTCAGGTGACTGTGTTGCTTTCCAAACAACATGCTGTGTGGCAACGCTTGAGAAGAGAGCTTCATCATGAGACCAGTGAGGTTCTGTCACTGCACAGCACGGACTGAGACAGTAGAGCGGTGGTAGCACAGACTCCCATCATGCCAATCAGGCTTTCATTAATACAAAGAGACCCTAAAGGGGCCGCCACACTTTGCTAAGCACGGAAAATAAGCCCAAACGTGTCAGCCGTGCTGAATGCTGGCTGTCGTTTCAGTCAGTCATTGACTGGTTCTCCGTCTGAGTCTCTCTCCAAACAGAAACAAGGGAAATGAATAAGTCACTGTTCCCATGCAGCATAGCGCAGGCGTTGCTGTTGCCGGTATTTGTTCAGCTTCATCCATTCCCAGCTTATGTAAATATTAACCTCCATGCGGTGCTCTACTGTCGTTGTTTCTCATTCCTCTGGAAATATGCCTCAAAAGTCTGGTGCGTAAATATTTACGAGGTATAGTTGGTGATGGTCGAGCACAGACAGTTATTGAAATATTTGTTGTTTTTGCATTAACTCAGACTGGGGTGCACCACGGTGCAGCTAGACTGCTCTCACACATCCGACTTCCTGTGTCCAGGTGTTTCACGTCTATTGTGACAACATTTGAGTGTGCCGACAAAAATAGTTTATACTGAGATCTGCATCTTTATGCACCTAGCGTGGTAGAGACTGTCTCTGCATTTAGGTTTACGCCATACTTAATGTTTACAGTCTAGAGGCTTCATACTTAATGTT